CGATAGAAAGAGGGGTGTTATTTGGTGCACTAAAAGTACTGCTATTGAAAAACAATGTGTCAACTAATTATGTCGCCCATTGTAGTTTAACTTCTTACAGTTATTTTAGGTGCCCTGTTAAATAAACTATTGTTGTTGTTGTTGTCGTGACAAACATTTAACGTTATCTTTGGTATTACAGATGACGTCAATCGTATAACCTTAGCGACCTTAGCAGGCATTTACTTTTAGCGAATTTGTTTGGACTCGGTATTGCCGGAAATTTTTAGAGCGTGACGGTCACTATTAGAGACAATAATCTACCATTATATTTGATAATCATGATAATCTTAGCAATGACGTCAATCGTATTACCATAGCAGCCTTGTCAATTCAGTGGTGTACTTTAGGATCTTTCCTTGAATTTACAATCAGTAGATAAGACTTTTTCGAGACATAGAAGTGATTTAACTGACCATTAAACAAGTTTACAATGAAGTTGAGAGTGACTAAAGCTGTTATCCACATTTTCAGCACTAAGTTTTTTTAGTCTTTTGTCTGAAGCGCGTTCATGATATTCTTTGGCCTGCTGCAAGTCCTCCAAGGGAAGCATGTCAGTAAGTACGTTTCTTGTCAAAACGCGCGGGTGCAAGCTTTTTAGCCTAATGCCTGAAGTACGTTCATCATATTCTTCGGCCACCTGCAGGTCTTCCAATGCATTCTGTACAGCACCCAAGATGTTGTCAGTACGTTTTACGTCAATATGCTCGGGCCCAAGCTTTTTCAGCCTTATCTCTAGAGCACGTTCATGATACTCCTTGGCCTGCTGCAGGTTGCCCATGTCACGCTGTACTACACCCAAGTTACCGTACGTAGTCGCAACGTCAATATGCTCGGACCCAAGCTTTCTCAGTCTAATGTCTAGAGCACGTTCAAAATTCTCCTTGGCCTGCTGCAGGTTGCCAGTGTCACCCTGTACTACACCCAAGCTATTATACGTAGTCGCAACGTCAATATGGTCGGGCCCAAGCTTTCTCAGTCTAATGTCTAGAGCACGTTCATGATACTCCTTGGCCTGCTGGAGGTTACCCATGTCACGCTGCACATCACCCAAGCTATTGTACGAAGTCGCAACGTAAGCATGCTCGGGCTCAAGCTTTCTCAGTCTTATGTCTAGAGCACGTTCATAATGCCCCTTGGCCTGCTGCAGGTTGCCCATGTTATGCTGTACTACACCCAAGTTGTGGTACGGAGTCGCAACGTAAGCATGCTCGGGCCCGAGCTTTTTCAGCTCTATGTCTAGAGCACGTTCATAACACTCCTTGGCCTGCTGCAGGTTGCCCATGTCATGCTGTACAACACCCAAGTTATTGTAAATAGTCGCAACGTAAGCATGCTCCAGCCCAAGCATTTTCAGTCTAATGTCTAGAGCACGTTCGTAATATTCCTTGGCCTGCTGCAGGTTGCCCATGCCATTGTGTACAATACCCAAGTTGTAGTAGGTACTTGTAACGTCAATATGCTCGGGCCCAAGCTTTTTCAGCTGTATGCCTAGAGCACGTTCATAATACCCCTTGGCCTGCTGCAGGTTGCCTATGTCACACTCTACAGCACCCATGTTATTGTACGTAGTAGCGACGTCAATATGCTCGGGCCCAAGCTTTTTCAGCTGTACGTCTAGACCACGTTCAAAGTGCTCTTTGGTTTGCTGTAGGTCAGCCATATTAAACGCAAGTTGTGGCACTTCTTCAGAGGAACCTGTAGCAAAAGATTTTAATTTACAATAAGAGAAGAAAACATAGCAACTTAACTTACCTCACTAACTACATCACCTTTTCTTAATTATACCATACTTTGGGGTCAAGGGTCTGGTATTCCCAAAATTACTTTATTGGATTTTTTCAAGTTATCAGCTTGAATAACGGCCATATTTGTCACATGGCGAAACAGAGGTAAATATAGTGAATCAAAGAAGCCATGGCCAAATTTATAAGTTACAAAGCTATTTTACTCTTAATTTTTCAGTTGTAGCATAACGTACGTACCAAGTGGAGTTTGGTTTTTTAAAATAATCCATAAAACGACACAGAAAAATGACCGGTCATCACACCGTGATTAGCATTTCACTTTATGGGAACACAAAATTTTATACTTTGCGCTTTTCGCTATACATTAGGGTAATATTTCGCATGTTGAATGGCATTAATGCTGAACGTTTATTAGTCAAGATTTGGCTATCAGTTTTGTAGGCATCTCGGTATAAAAAACTTATTGTTTCAGGGCCTTTAAAACGTTCAACACAGAATAGAACACGACCCAAAAGATTTTCGGCCAAAGACAGCAAAAAATATGGACAAAAAACTTGGTTAAAACTTTTTTAACGGTTACACATTGTTTACACAAAAATACATTAGGAACATCAAACTTTACCCCCACTTCAAGCTCGATTTTATAACGCTCGAACGACCTCACTGCCACAACTGAGACAAGTTCGAAATCAGTTCATTCAAAATAAGTCGTGTTTGAAAAGTCTACGTTGGTGCAAGCATTGATTTAAAAGGGAGGAATGCCCAAATGCCTTGCTTTACTTGAATAAAATAGTTACATTTTAAGGAAAAGAATGCTAATATTAAAAAGAACATTGACTGCCTGGAATAACCACTTGGGCTAGAGACAAAGACAGACAATGCGCTTTAAATATATCTTTCATTGGAGCACAATCTGTAGAACGTCTAATCTCCGACCGATCGAGACTGGACGTTCTTAGTCTTTTGGGCGGCCATTTGGGCTTGAAGTCATTTGAATTTACGGTAAACTTGGTATGATTCGTAATTTTAGTGGATTACTTTAATTCGGTGTTAACGGGAATTATTGCAATTTCTCAGTTTCCGTAAAATTTGTAATTTTCGGAGATTTCTTTTTAAACTTTTAAATTAAATTTTCGATTTTCGTAGAGTTTTCGCGATTTCTGTATTTTTTGCAACTTTCGTAATTTTCGTGGATGCCGGTAGGGACTTCCTTACGAATTTAGCGATCTTTTCCTATTTTTGTTTATTTCGCAGCCTTTGCAAACAGCCTACTAATCCAAATGTTAAGACTAGTGACGAGAGATCATCACATGAAAATGACGCAAATGCTGAAACAAATTAAACACAAGGAGATGACCGGTACGTAAACCTACATGTAAGCTGTAATGCATGGCTGACTGTGTTTGTGTTTGTTCATTCATAAGGACCTCAATTCGATGAAAAAAATAAACACTATTGATAATAACATCATTCTAAGAGTTGAAAACAATAAAACGTACCTGAGATTTCCATTAAAGACAATTTGCATGCCAAGTAGTCCTCTTCCAGCAGAGTGGTTGCTAACTTTATAGTCTCCATACTAAGCTCGTCCTTAACCGTCTCTGTAATGAGGCACTCCTCGGCTACAGCGTTTAGGTGGCCAGAACAATAGTCATCCCACAGGCCTTCAAGAATCTTAAGGGTACGGCACTTGACGGTTATTTTGATGCTACCCGTCGTATAGTTAACATTCATCAGGTGAAGCTCTCCTACTAGGTACGCATGCAGACGACGTAACCCTGTAAACGAAGAGAGATCGAATACTCCCTTCACCTCATCAATCTTCTGTTCCATGTATCTGTTCACCTTTTCTCTTTCTTCTTGGGGATCTGAATTTCTGCTGGTGGCACTAGCACAGTGAATCTTCCAAGACAAGATACCTGGAAAAAAGTCAGCTTGTCACCTTGCAAGACAATGTTTTGTTGTTGTTGCTAATTCTATTCAACTGTCCGTCTACATGGGTCTCTCGTAATTGGTCCAACAAACAATGCTGGCCTGTCCACGAACTCTGAAACTATTGATTCAATCGATGGATTGGTAAGTGGGTGGGTGGAAGCACGAATGGAATACTTCAGTGATCTATTTAATCAGAACTATAACAAAATTCGCGAATCTGATTGGCTATCAACGCGCCCAATTTTAGCCCAAAAAGGACAGTGTATGCCTCATGCTTGTAACTGGACAGCGTTGGACAGTACGCGTCATTTTGTGTACGCTCTTTCCTGGACAGTTCTAGATCTACTTGAATAGATTCCATTTCCTGTACATCTTTGTCAAAACATACTCAACTGCATGTTAAAAGTTTGAATTTTTATTATGATCAAGACATTTCAATGATGGTTATGGCCAACAACTTTTGTTAAGGTTTTACTTAACAGGACTTCGTGTCGTCTGATTCTGTCTTTAGAAAAGAAGAATGTCAAGACTTTCTTCACTTTCCGCCCTACATTAAGATTTCTTTAACTTAACATATTCATCTTCGGAGCTGTTATACATACCTCGCTCAGGATCCGGGTCCAAACTTTTCCTTTTCAGAGCACTGCTCTCCCCAGTGGAACCTCCGCTGTCACGTGTTCTTGCAGTAGCACCAGAGACTTCTCCTGTCACTGTTCCTTCTGGCGCTGGATCAGCAGGTGCTATAACGACATGCAATAATTGTTATCGCTGTTTCGCCATAGTATTAATCAAGTGGAAGCCAAACTGGCACTAAACTTCAAACATCGTACGACTTTATTTCTTTACACGAATACGGGTTTGACTACGAAAAATGACAAGCAAATAGAAAATGAATACAGAAATAATAGATGACGGAGGGCAAGCAAATAATAAAGAAAACCATAACAAATATGACTTACAGAAATTCCACCAGTATGATAAAGCAGGAACTGAACAGATCCTGCATGCATACGCGATGCACAAAACGTAAATTATTTGTCCCGTAGGAATATCATGATTTACATTGGGAACGAAACAATAAAAAGCAACGCAAGAATGTCACAATAATAACTTTCATGAAATGGGTCAAATGGTTCAAGGGTAAGCAATGTCCAGCCCCGGGCAATAATATAACTTCAAATGCCGTTGCCCTGAATTTTTATGGATTAAATGACTTAAATAACGAGTGAGTAAAATAAAAGGGTTAATTTAGATTCCATTGTTGAGATACTTCAGATACACCAACCAAAAGATAAAAGAAGTAAAAAAAAATGGAAAAAATCAACAGACATGAATTTTAAAGGTTGTAATGTTTGTAAAATGAAGATCACCACAGCAAGTCACCCATATACATTTGTTCTGTTCCATTTCGCACGCAGAAACCATTAAAATTCACGCGGACTACAGACTGCATAAAATAACACGACGATGTAGCTTGAACGAACAGGAAATATCAAAACACCCACTCAACATGGTTCATCGAACAGGGACCAGATGCATTACGTCACCCACCCAGTTGTTGATTCAACGTTTTGTTATGGTAACCTATTGTGTGACGAAAATGATAACAACGCGTTCGCCAATGGTTGGGCAGTTTTTTGATACCACGATTGTAGCATCAAGGGATAAATAGTGGTTATAACGGCCCATCAAAATCTAACTGCTGGGAACTGTTTTGAGCCACCTTCGAGGAAAGTAGTTAGCTCTCAGTTTTGAGCCAGAATGGAAGAGGGTCTTACGGTCTTAGTTTTGGCAATTGGGAGAGGGGTCTTACGTTCAGATTAGTTCTACAATCCAAGGTCTTAGGCCTTTAAGTGAGTGACTCATTGACTTGAACTGGTGCATTTTTATTAAATAGACAAATTCTCATAATTTGTTGACTAGTATCTTGCCCTGTTTCTTACACCTGCACGGGCGAAGAGAGATAAATTGTGTTTTATATTAACTATTATCCCCAGCAAGGGCTAAACCCAGACTTCTCAATCCAGAGTCCTGAGCTCACGTAAGACCATTAGACTTAATATTGTAGAAAATAATTACCCTTTATGTAACAAAACTTCTCTGCCAAGTCTTGCCGCTGTACTAGTTCATGTTGCAATGCATCACACAAAGCCTTGTAGGTCGCGGCAGAACCCTTTTCTTGTTTCCAATGCTTTAACATGTGGTATCCCTTTTCAGGCAATTGGTAGTGAGCTTTATTTATTTCTTGGATCTGTGGATCAATGACCCTAAGGCGACGTCCAAGCTTTATCCAATTTTCTGCAATTTTAACACCCACTTTTTCTAATTCATCGTCTGTCGGTGTGCCGTGTTTTACTGCAAAGAGAAATAATTCAATACGAATAAATTGTTTTTATCGTTGTTGCGTTAGACTTAATATTGTAGAAAATAATTACCCTTTATGTAACAAAACGTCTCTGCCAAGTCTTGCCGCTGTACAAGTTCATGTTGTAATGCATCACACAAAGCCTTGTAGGTCGCGGCAGAACCCTTTTCTTGTTTCCAATGCTTTAACATGTGGTATCCCTTTTCAGGCAATTGGTAGTGAGCTTTATTTATTTCTTGAATCTGTGGATCACTGACCCCAAGGCGACGTCCTAGCTTTATCCAATTTTCTGCAATTTTAACACCCAATTTTTCTAATTCTTCATCTGAGGGTGTGCAGTGTTTTACTGCAAAGAGAAATAATTCAGTACGAATAAATTGTTGTTGTTGTCGTTATTGCTGACAATACTTTAGAATAAGGGCTCCTAGGTTTCTTAAGTATTCTTTTACAGTCACCCCAGTAAATTATGTTTGCAGATAATTTTTAGTATAAAACTATAAATTTCATCAAAAAACAAAACAAAATTAATATTTTTGTAATATCAAAATTATTTGTCTTGACAACTCTGAGGCTAACAACTTTAAAACTAATAACTGCAGAAATTTAGTTTTTCTAAATTAAGGTTACAGTATACCTTCAGGTCGGCAATTTTTTTCAAATTTGGATTTTTGGGTCAAAATGGTCGTCGAAGAATAATCTCTAATTTAAAAAAAAAAAAAATTGAAAAAGGCTACATATTGGCGGAGAAATGACGGTGCTACGTTTTCGCCGGAAGTGAAGTTTACCTCTTGATTGACAGCCCTATGGCGCGTATGCAATCAACCGAGACGGTTTTCGCGGGAATTACCTATACGGATGTCACGAATTGACTACTCGGCTCAGTTGATCAGCATTGTTGTTCTGACTACCAAGCGTTTTTGGTATTAGGTGTAGTTCTATTAAGTTATAAGTAAACATAGACCACGTTAAAAACATGGA